AACCAAAACGCCACTCTATAGCCACAAATAATGCTCAGAACAGCACCTAACTTCATCAACAGTACATATAGGGTCCCAGCCATAGTACTAGCCACCAAACATCTTTTTAACTTTTCCTGATTTCTTCAGCAAAGAGACTTAACACAACTCACCTACTCTCTTCCAGCAGCCGCTTGTTTGAAGCGAGACCTCTCAAGGAAGAACATTTATGATCATTTTTTCATAGAAATGCAATCAGACTGAGAAGAACTACTGCGTCTGCAGTGCAAAATGATTAATATGGTGATTATTACTTCAAGGAAATGAAAAAAATAAATAAATAAACAAATAGTAATAAAATTTAATATAAAAAATAAAAACTGAGAATTGCATATTGTCTGTTTTGGTTAATCCTCCCTGCTTTCATCTTAGTAACTATTGAGCGAAAAAACAGTTTTCCAAGAAATACAAAAAAAAAAAAAAAAGATTAGTGAATGTGTTTCCAGGATTTTCTGATTGCCTTGAGAGACCAAAACTGAAACCAATCAAATCAAAAAAACATCACCCATAGGTTTAAGTAAATGTAAAGGTCATTATTTAAAGAATCATCTTTAAGGAGTGTTTTGGGAGTCCTTAGAAATGAGACATTGATAACCCAAATAGTGTCCAAACTGGGTGGCAGCTACTGACAGATAACACTGTGCAACAGTCCTGGATTAACTTTCACAGGACAGTCAGATTAATCTCACAGGTCAGATGACTCACTTATCAGCTGAAAGATATTCCCCTCGAGTGGAGAGCTATTAAGATTAACGCACACGCTGCACACACTGAGGCACACACTGTGGCACACACTCACACAGGTCTGCTCCAGAGCATGAATGCATGGCCAGAGAGACATAACTGTCACCTGCTATGTGTGCTAAGTCTGAATGATTGTCTCCATGTGTCTATTTTTATGCTAATATGTCCAACCCTTCTGTGCATCCAGCATAAATCAAAAAATATAATTTTCACCTTTTAATGAAGAAAAATTACCAACTTGTGGCTCCACAGCTTGTTAGACAAACAAAAACGGCTCGAGCGCCCGTCAAGCAATATTGCTCCAACCCCTCCAAATGAGCTCTCCATCACACGCAATCAATAATTGTCAACTTTGGTTCCAGTCTGGGAGTGCTGAAGCTTTCAACCAGTCCAAACTCTGCATCGTTACGCCAAATCTTACAGCGCCATAGCTGCAGATTAATCATGAGTTATGCTCTTAACAAACTCTTTGGGTGCAAGCTCCCAGAAACTCTGGACCTTAAAAAAAGGACTGAAAAGTTCGCTTTCCCGGCAGATTGAAAAAAAAATCAAGTTTAAGTTTAGCAACTTAGTGCAGATACATGGTTGAACAACGCCATATGAGAAACAATCAACCTCGACATAACACAAATATATCAACCCCACTTGTGAGCACTGAGCCAGGCTAATGGTGTAAGCATTTTTATTCAAGAGTTTATTTGTTTATTGGCAGTTTTTGACAAGATATGATATTTGTTTAATTATGAAAATGCAGAGAAAGATATTTTAGTTTGTAGTGCAGCTCAGGAAATGAAAAGGAGAGCAGTGAGGCACAGAGAACAGAATGTTAGGTAAATTAAATCTGTCGTGGTATTTGATCAGAGAAAGAGTTTCTCGAGTTTTTAGCATCAAACACTGATTTCTGAGCATCACTAAGGACTGCACTGACTATCCAAGCTTGTACTCCTTAAAAATATGCTGTTTTTAAAATTCTTAACTTGAAAATGTGGAATGGAAGTTAAAAATACTCAAAAATCATTATGCTTACACGAAGTTGGACTTTTCAAAGGAAAATCCCCACAGACATTGACAACTTGAGATCATTTTTCAACCATTCTATAACTTGACCTAAGGCAGTGGTACACACCTGATTCAAATGATCAGCTCGTTATCAAGCTCTGTAATGGCTTCTTAACGAGCTGATCATTTGAATCAGGTGTATTGGAGCAGGGAAACATCCAAAACATGCAGGACAGTGGACCCCGAGGACTGGATTGAGAACCACTGACCGAAGGAAACCATAGATAAGCAACCCTGAAAAAGTCAAGTGAAAGATGCTCTACACAGCTTAACTTCCTTCAAGAAGTTTGTTGACCTCAGATGTGGTTATAAACACTGCAACCAATGACCTGCGCCGAGAGTTAATCGAATTCGCTTGAGGTGAATGTGGTCAGCTGAACAGAATACAAAGGATTAATTGAGAATGATGAAATGTCAAACAGAAACAGGAACATATACATAATGAGATGAAAGGGCTCACTGCCTATGTAAAGTCTGACCTAGACTCAATTATCTTCCGTCCCAGTTCACAGCGGCTTATGCTTCAGTGTACTGTAGCTGCCAAATTTCATAAACCTGTCCTTTCTTTTAACCTTTATTTATTTATACTGCAGGAACACTCTGTTCATTCACTGATACACATACATTCACACCACAAAACTCCCCCAAAATCTGAGAAGTCCACTGAAGCATTTGGGACAACCTCGGAGTAACACTGACATCCCAATCTGCCAGTTCCTCACGAATTACTCTGAAAATTAGATTCGTAAGTGAAGGTTGTTTCCTGGCCCTTTTTACGTTTGCAAAACCTAAAACTTTCACTCCTCAAATAAGGACATATGAGTAATAAAGCAGAGGTTTCACTCATGTTTTATTTTGTGAATCCTTCAACAAAGAAACACGACAAGGTAGCCTAGCTGCTCTGTGAAACTGCAGCACTCTCGGGTACATGCCACTATCCTTTTTCCAAGGTTTAATCCTTCAGTGTAATAACATTAGTAGCCATAGCTGAAGTTGAAGCTTTTGCTGTCAAGTTTTGCACAAACGTAATAACTGATATGTTTAAGTGTTAAAAAGTTGAGTTAAAAAAAGAGAAATAAATTGCTAGGCCAAAAATAAAGGTGTTCATTCAAGTATCGGAGGGTTATTCTGTTAAAAACCTCAACATGTCATCCTAATGCAACCTTATACGTTCAAAGAATCAGCAGAATATAATCTATTAAACAGTATTCTTCTCCTGGGAACAAAAGTTTGTGAAAGACATGGTTTTAATCTGGCCAACAGTTGAATTACAACTAAATCTCATGCCATATTAAGGTTTTTTTATAAAGTCAGAGCATCACTGGGGATCGATTTAATTAAAAAAAAGATTAATCCTCTTGAAACAATGACTGTCCGTCAATAAATTACTACGATCAAATTAATGGCTGATATTACTTCAAAGCTTAAACCAACTTTATAAGGCTGAAAATCGACTGAATATTTATTTTCAAATATTCATCCTCTTGGGATAATGACAGTTGAAGAAAAAAAAAATCACAATCTATTCAAAATATTTGGGATGTAAACTTAAAACCACAAATATCAGCCTTGTGTAAAACCAGTGTAACCTTATGAAACAAACTACCGTATATCGGGTTCAACATGATTCATCCTCTGGAGACAACAACAGTCTGTACCACAACAACAATCACCGTAACAGCTGAAGCATTTTATTAAACACTAGCTTTATGTCAAACAAATCACAGTGAACCCCATGTTAACCTACGTACCTCATAAAATCAGATAAACACCAGATTATTTTGTAATATTCATCCTTTGGGGACAATGAAAGTCTGCGAAAACTCAAATACAATCCATCCTCTTGTTGAGACATCCCTTTAAAACGATCTCAGTCAACCTCATATCAACCCATGATTGGAGAATAACCAAAATGTCATTAATTCAAAAGGGTTCAACCTCTGGGGACAACAAATCTTTGGGCGTAACTTCACTTTAATCCATTTAGATGTTGCCTGAAAACACAAATGACAATGCTGTGGATGAGGAAGGTGTAAAGCAAGGAGATTAATTAACAACGTGAGATTCTTCCTCTGGGGTCCACGAACTTCTGCGAGAAATTTCAAGGCTATCAGTTCTACGATTGTTAGGACATCACGCCTCAACATCAAAGTTACAAGCCCCTTAAGGATGATGGAGATAAAGTCATATGAGTCCTCTAAGACGATAACCACCTTCACAAAATTTCATGGCAGCCCATCCAATAACTGTTGAGATATTTCTGCTCAAGCCTAAATTGTTGGACTAATTACCACCTCCAGCACTCTGTTGTTAGCACCTCTTAAAAGAAAACACCTGACAAAACAGCGAGCCTATTAGTCTCTAAAAAGTAGCTATTTCTTTGGTAACAGACGTATCCCTCTCTGATTCCTCAGACAGCACAGCAGTAAAGCTTCAGCTACGTACTTCTGCAGCCCTCCTTTTTGGTTTTTCCATCTGAGTCATCATCTGAGCGCCACCTGTTTCCTCTCCTGGTCCTCCAGAGCTCTTCTGTCAGCATTTCATCCAAACTTCCTGTGTCCTCTGAAAGTCTCCATCAAAGCACCAGATTGCTTTACAGATTGCAAAAAAAGCTGTGCCACAAATAGCTTTATGTATATGCACGATTCAGGCCTGTATTTCACAATGTATGGAGTTTCTGTAGAAAGTTTGTAGACTGCTTCTGATAAGACGTTCGCACCTCGTGTCAAGAAAAAACACAGGGTTCTGAGTTCTCTCTTTGTGAATACAGCAAATCGCCTGCAATAAGCCTCTCGCTAAGTGTTTATTTTTCAATTTATTCAGGCTGAGACTGACTGGTGGTTGAGGACTGAAAGCAATTTAATACAAATACCCAGTTGAGATGCACGTAATGACATATTGATTTGAAATTATATCTGCAGCTACATCTGTGTCATGTCTTGGAAACTTGCATAAATGACATTTCTTCCACACGGGAAAATCACATATCATTTTCAAAAAGTGGTGTATTTACCACAACTGCAAGTCCTTCTAGGATATGCAATCTCTACATTTAGTCTATTTTTGAACTCTTAACTTCTCCCCCTGCTGCTTCTGTCCTTTTTCTATACTATCTCGGCTGAAAGCAAAGGGTTGTGATCGCCACATAGAGATTGGAGTCTCAATTTCCGTGGCGAGAAATAAGAGAGGAAGTAAAATGTGTCTTTTTGACACACACTCTTCAGATTGAAAGGCAAACATTGGCACCTTCTGCCTCTAAAGGGGTCCTCACCAATCTATTTGTCCTGAGCTGCACCGCGCTTTCAGTGCAATTTGTTTGTACATGATCCTGGGAAATGGTAGTTCAGGAGGTGATTGTGAAGCTAAATGGCCTTGTTGCTGTGATAAATGTGACACGTATAAGTCAGAGAGTGAAGAGAAGTGTATGCCATGCTTGTAAAGCCTGATACACACTCTAACGGTCTAAACAGAAGGGATAGAAAGCTGACGGCGCATTAGCTTTAATAACCCGTTTACCATAATGACACCTGGTAATATATCATGTTCACAGGGGTCTGAAATTTCTACATTACTGGCATGTTCCCATCAATGTCATATGTCCATATTATACCTCATAATGGAGGTCAGGTGTATAAATGAGGTTGAATTAGTCATTAAATCAACCTTCAAAAGGCTAATGTATTCATGCATTTGATTTACAGAGATCCCTGGATACTTTCTACATCATGAAACTGTGCTCAATAATAGAAGAAAGATAATAAAGTGATGCCTGCTGTTAAGTTTTGCTTTCCAGTTGTAAGGACTTAATGTGACGATTATTTGGAATTATTCATCTTAAGAAAGAGGGTTTGGAAAAAGGGCCTTTTGTTTCTTTTCGAGTCCATTTCACAGAAGAAAGTCCTTCACAAGTGTTTTTCTGAGAGGTTTGATGAACTGCTGGTTAGCCATTGTGAAACCTCGGCTGTGTCAAATATTAGCACAAATATTATGTGTCTCAGATTTCATCGTGACTCGCTCAAAGTTTCTCAAATATCCCATCGCTCTTGACTCATATGCATAGTTGCCAAGTAGCCCAACAGTTATTCCCAGGGAAAGTCAATTAATATAAACGTAATTATTTCAGCTTAGCCGGAACAATATTACTGACAGAGTACACTCGCACAGCCTGAGAGGCAAAACAAGTGAGAAGTAAGCAAACAAGCTCTCAGAGATCCAATTCTGATTAGCATATTATGCATTAAAAAGTGATTAGCAGATTTGTAACCTACCAGCCCATCACTAATAACACTCCTAAGTGATATTAACAACAGATCTCCAAAGTTATGTGATTAAAACTTTCATTTTATGTATAAATTAAACAACAGCTTGCGAACAGTGAGATATTACCATCAAACAGCCAACTAACTTGGCTGGCAGCACACCACAGCTTACAGCTTACTTGACTGTACTGGCCAAGGAGAGCATTTAATTACTATTCTTCTAACTCCTTTCCAAAAGTGGCTTACAACCAAACACATGCACATACAAATGTGTGGACTTAATGTGGTGGATGTATCGTATTCTTCTCAGCAGATTGCAGCTGAATTACCTTGCAAGCTAATAGGAAAAGTAAAAAAAAAAGTCAAATTAAGATGTCCAGATGTTTGCATCCCTGTCTTTTTGCAAAAAAAAAAAAAAAAGACAGACCACTGGAGCGAGTGAAGACTACACTCACTCTACTGAGTTTCCGTATCACCATCCTCTGCTATCAGTTGTGCTTGATGTAATTTCGGCCCAGTATTTGTTCTCCTATGTCTGATATGTCTGCATTGTGGTTCCCTCTCATTCCACCAGTAGAGGAAGACAGATGCAAACAAGCATAATCAGCCCCCCTGAGAGGCTTTCGCTGATGGGTTAAACTAGTGCCCTGGCTGCCAGTGGCCATTAGCCACTGCAGCTAGTGCCAGCTCTGACAGAGCACGGGGATGTTTAGGACTCAGAGATAATTTGAAAAAGGCCCTATAATTGGCCACAATCCGTCTGACAGCTTTGAGTTGAAGTCCCGAAGGCCAGTATATCGATGAATCTTCCTGATTTGAGCCTGAAACCACAATACCTTCTGCAATACAGGGGTCTATTTCAGAAGTCTAATGGTCATTGCTGGAAGTTGCTTTATCCTGAAGTGCTTTGAACAAAGATGTACTTTGCTAGAAGTTGACGAATGATAGTGTGTGGTGATGATGCCTTCAAGCAATTTAGGTGGAGAAACACTCTCTCCATCTTCAAGAACTAAGAAAATAACGGACTTTTCTTTATTTCCTTCATTGAACCCAGAAGGAAAAGAATAGGGAGTGTGCCAACCCTCTCTTACTTCTTGGTATATCTAGTCAATATGTCACGATTCTATAGGTTGGACTGCGTAATCCCTCCATGTTAAGTTTCTGCTAGTGACTCTAAGGGGTATATTTCCGTGCCTCGGCAGTGGCGTGGTGCAAGACAGGTCCGCCGTGCTGATGAGGTGTGCCTAAGCACACTTTGTAAAGATACGCACGTATCTTTAGCAAAGCGGTGTGTATCTTTAGCAGAGCGGCGCTCAACAACGCTTCTGAGACGGAGTTATGACGCGTCCTGTGTGCGATACTGCATTGATTTGAATGGCAACCTATTTGCTGCGTGACACACGATGCTGACAGAACGCGCCCAACAAGGATCCTGTATGTTCCAGCCTTAAGTTTTTGGTCTGCGGACTTGGCCACCAAAGGTCACCAAAAGTTGAGATCTGCAGCACCTCCTTTTAAATATTAGAGGTTGTTGCTGGGAATGGAGCATCTGCCATTGGTAAACAATCCAACAACCACCCATTTGAACTGGTTGGCATCGTAACTAGTCATGTCGTCTTCATTTTTATTCAGCATATAATGAACTTTTCCCAGTGTAAATTAGAATTGAAAAGGCAATCTGTCATTAATCTGGACTAAAATATCATTAAAATTTTGGGAATCTTGCATAATCAGGTTCTGGCCGCAATGTTGTCGTGCTTTTTATTGTTGTTAATATCACTCTTAACCATCCATTTGTGCATGTCAATACAGAACAATCATTTGTCAGCCAAACTTTACTAATTAGACTTTTCTGCCAAGAAAGCTCCTTCACAACACGAACATCTTCCATTCGCATTTATTTGGATCTTGAGTTGAACTAGCATTCATCAGAAAGCCTTGTTAATGGCTGTCCCAGAACACCTTTGCATAACTACGCTCTTTTTGCACCGTGCTGTACGTGGCCTTTTATTCCAGACAGCTGTAGTGCCACAGGACCCTTTGCCACACGATAAAAATGGTGTTCTTTATTCACAGGATAACCCTGACAAACAGCACTCCGCTGACCGTTTAATAACTTGATCAATGCTGTGACATATGACCTGTCTGGAAGTGCCAGGAGGATCTGCTCCTTTGGATGTCTGCATAAAACAAATGGAAAAATTCTTCAAACACTTAGTGGTGGTGCACATTCTCCTTTCCGGTTGACTTTTGGATAAGATAGTCTGTCTTTGTGGTATCTGTTTGTTGATTTTTCCAAAACAATCCAAAGCAGACTTTGGTTGTGCTTGTTAGAGTTCATCATTAAAAAGAGTCTGCAGCCGAACAACTGTATTAAAGAGCGTATCAGTGTCTGAAGGACATTAATGTGCTTACTGTGCTGGTCCTAATGAGGCAGCACTTTGCCACTGAGGCTACAATGATCCTTGATGATAAAGCTCCTGAAAAGTTCCCTCTGTCACAGAGTACTCTTCCTCGGCTCCTAAAAGCACCTCCATTTCTTTCTTTTCCTCACAGCACAAAAGACCACAAACTTCGGAAACTCCTATTAAAGTAGGGCAGCTGTGTGTCTATGTGTTAATTAAACACAATTGATAGCATAACACAGGGTAGGGAGAGCAATATGGAGTGTGTCCCTTATAGCTAGACCTAACTTGGCTGTGTTAAGACGTACGAGAGGTTAGAGACTAGCTGTCATCAAACACCAAAAAGAGATATGATGATAATGCATGGCAGCCTGGTAGATGAGAACGACACAAGTGAAGACATCAGGCCTGTCGTAATGGACTTTGTCTTAGCCTCGAGTGCTATCTGTACTATTAGTCACTCTGTTGCTTCTATCACTCTGCCTGATACAGATAGACAGACAGACAGACAGCGCCTTGAGAAAATGAATGAATCAATAAGAAAAACAAAGATCTCTCACAGATTTCACTGCACCACAGGCTACAGAGCTACACACTCTATCAGAGTACTCAGAGGGTACGCTGTCCTCATTCATTTTGACTAAGAGAAATGGTTGAAAGAAGTCCTTTGTAAGTCTTTGTGAGAGGTGACGTTAAGGCAAGTAGAAGAAAGTTTGAAATTGTTGTGAAACACCCTCATATTTTCTGCCTGCTGGAAGGGTGATTTAATCAAACTAACATGCCCGCTAAACCTAGCTTACAGCTACTATGTAAGACAACAGTTGTTTAGTTTCACATTTAGGAGAAATGGACTGACAGCATCTTGCAATATAAATCACAAACTCTGAAAAGTTCTTATAACAGTGGGTGCCAACTTTAGATTCTGCGTGAAGGCGTATAATTTGTGGGCTGTGATGAAATCTACGCCAAAGCATTAATGCTGTTTTATATCCTATGTTGGTAGATAACTTAGAGCTCATTGGCAGAGACAAAAATTGTAGAGTCCAAGTCCTTATATAACAGACCGAGCCCATGTGAGCACACAGCATTAATCGACAAATGGTTGAATAAATCAAACAATCAAAAAAAAAGATTCTCAATCCATACTACTGTCTTCCCTTTCCATCAAATATCAGTATAATAGACTAATAAGGAATGAACCTTTCACCTCTGCAAAATCAAATCAGCAAACAAAGCACCTAATTGCACTTTGCATCAGCCTATTGATCAGAATATTAACCAGCTACATGAAACAGATTGCCCTTATACTGATGAATTGATCACAGGACCTCAGACGGTGGCGCAAAGGTTGGAATGATGATTACAAGCAGCACAGTCTTTATGACTGCAGGGCATGAGCTGAATATGGAATTAGAGCAGTGGACTATGGATTTGTTTTGTTAAGCACAAAGGCTGATGGGTAGTTTTTGTTTTCTCATCACTAAATAAGTAATAAACCTTTTGGTTATGATATCCTACCATGTCTATGTTTTTGAATTTCATCCATTCATTCATTCATACTCAAACTTGGAATACATTGGAATATGTTCCCCATACAGTCCAATGCAAACATAGTTCACCTTGTTATAAAGCAATGACAAATGAAAATTCTTCAACTTTAATTATGTGCAGTGCACCAACTTTGGCCTGTAATTCACCAATGGTAAAAAAAAATTCACGACACTTGTATTATTGTTTTCTGCCAAAGTAGAGATTTCCATTGTTGTACATCAGAACGAGCCCAGAAACGTGTATTTTCACACACTAAGGAGTTCTTACACTTTAATTAACATGCAAACTTGATAGAGGTAAATGAGTCGCTGAGTTGCCTTTGCAAAGAGCAGGGTTTACATGCAAGTCCTTAATGCAGACATTTTTTTTTTTTTATAACAAAAAGCCAGTTTTGGCAATTAATTTCAGCAGATGTTTTTAAGGTCAGAGTCCTGGGTCCCCCTGGCCCAAAGCCCACTGGCTCCTCTGTTGGCAGGCCTGGATATTTAGACATATTCATTGGCATTGCTGATAGACCAACAGACGGCCATGTAGCAAGCAGCCAACATTCATTTAGTCAACTTCAGCCCCACTTGTCTTCATGTTTTGCGTTTACTCTAACATTGGCTGAAGTCAGAATTTCCAATATGGCAACCAGCATCATTGAGCCTCATGAAACCTCTGAGAGTATGTCCATTTTTCATACAGTCAATGAAACCAAAGGATGTCACAGCAGACACGTGTCTGTTAAATCTCAATCTGGCTCAGCAGAGGTTTCAATGTGAACAACAGAAAAGTTTCAGAGTCACTGAAACAGAACATTAGAGGGCAGCACAGGAACAGCGTCTTCTGACAAATTACACGAGCTGCCTCTAAGTTCTCAGACGCACACATCAACATGGCTTGCGGCCTCCCAGCGTTTGCTGTGTTCAGCCGTCATAACAGTAATAATGAATCCCCTTTAACATCCAATTAAAATGTTCCTAATAGCGTTGCGGTTGCATCGATTTCTCCGCAAACGGCCTTTCAGTGGAGAACATTTGCACTGAGGCATCCTGGGGGATTTGGATGGGGCTCATCGCACATTGGCTCCGAGTACAAACAAAGAGCGATTGATAAGTAAATAGCCTGTTCGAGATTTATGCTTATACATGTGTTTATGTGCATGTCAGAGCACGACTGCCTGCTTTTAAAATATGTGCTTCTGCCTTCTCGAGCTGCTCAATGGACTTTAGAGGCGTCGGTAATGATTTGAATTTCCACCTCAGTGTATTTTGTGTCTTTCCCCTTCAGCTACAGAGACAAAGAGTACACTGGTAGAGAGGAGGCGGAGGCTCGAGGAACTTAGTAGGCAAGTGTAATTCACAATGAAAGAGTAATGACTCTTAATCAGGTATTTTATGAAGGAACTGTACATGCATTAACACAGAATGTTTTACATGTGAGATGAATACATACAAATATGAACGTTAATTACAAAGAAGTAGAGTGCATAGAAATGAAAACATTAAATGAAATCTAGGTAGCAGATTTCTCTAGATTTAGAAGCTCTGGTCCAAAGGTCTGTCCCTCTCCTGTTCTCCATAATCCATGTCCAATCAAAGATTTAATCCAAACACATAACACTCATAAACATCAATGGACTGCTTCAAATCTGTAAAGGCAAAATGTCCATGCTCAAGTTGTCTGAGATCTGTCTTACCTTGTAGAAAAGGTTTGGATCCCTCTTTCTTCTCACGTAAACAACCACAGTGTGAATAAATGCTTTAACAATCACTTTCGGCTCAGCAAGAACCAGCTCTTTTGGCTCCCAAACTGCTTTTTATATAATATTGTTTACGTTCAGGTGCTGCGTTTCAAAACTGAGTCATCTGTGACAACACATCACTAGGGCTCCCCCGGATATCTGCTGATCCTGCAGTGAGGTCAAGAAATACGAAAATGAAATAATCAAAAACAACTGAAGTTAAAGATTTCAATGATTGTTTTTCAAATTAATGGCCACATTAGAATTTAAATTGAAAAATTAATGCTGATAATTCATAATTTACAGACGTGCGCCCAGCTCTGTGAAACCCTACAAATACGCTCTACAGTCATTGGCTGTTACTGATCTAGTATTCATTGCACATACAAACTACATGATCATTTTAATGAGGTAACTCATAAATCCTGAAGCTCAATGTGGACTTTTACCACATCTTATTAAAGGACAGCTGGCTAATTTACTTTCTGACAGTTCTTCACAAAAATAACTGGAACATAAACATCTCTAATGAGCCTAATCAGGCAGTTACATAAATGTGCTTAATTTACAAAACGGTACAGAACGATGCCCCTACGATCCAACACACTATGATATATACATTCAGGGGGAAGTCTGCTTTTCTCCCCCTCTGTTAATCCATAATTTAAAATCCCTCACTCCTGCCTTGTGTCTTTAAGCTACACTATTAAATATAACGACAAACTGTAGGCTCCTATAGTCATGCAGCTTTACAGCCAATTTGTGCTCACTTGCAACCGAGTCGGAGCCATGCAGAGGCTATATAAAAAATCCTGAAGACGTATGGGGTTTGCAGAGTCCATACAAGGCTAATGCAAAGGGTCAGCGTTTTCTCATATAAAAAATCACACCATGATTTGCTCGACAGCGTAACAACTGGCTGATGGATGTATCACTAACAACATGCAGCAACTTAGTTTTGCAGGGGAATAATGTTAGACTAATTTCTGGTCTGTTTGAAACATGAAATAGGCTAATCTTGATGAACTGTTTTTTTATATTTTCTTTCTATATTGAATAAAAAATAGATGAAATGTGAATCAATTTTATTTAAAAGTTGGACGACCGCTTCTTTTGAAGCTCAACTTATTCTCACAAATGGTCATCCCACTTTAAGAATTACTGCTTTACCTACTTCTGTTGTATACAGTTTTCTCTATAACATACCTTTCCATTCAACAGTCCTGTAACACTGCCAAAGCCATACTGTGCTGCAGTTTGAGCGCAGATCAATTTCTGCTAATTTCTGCACTATTTATCCACTTTGAACCTACTCCTCTTTACTGGTGGTTAGCAAATAAGCCAATAGGTTAAATTAAAGATATTGGAGATCTTCAAAAGCACACGTATGCACTCAACTGATGGGTTCAATTACCTCTATTTTTCTCTGCAGTAATTTCTTCCCTGCCCTAAAGCTTTTTCTGCAAACATAAAAAAACCACGAACTAGTCCAAATTCAAGTAATCAATCTAAATTTGTCCAGCCATTCATAATTTCTTAGACTTCTTGAATTTAATTGTTGATTTCATGCTCGGCTGCCCTGCGGGTCACATTGCTGCTGAACTCCAGCTGGGGAAATAAGTTATAGATTTGTCGAAAATCAGTCATAAGCTCAACTAATGCACAAGACAAGAAGTCAATAGTAGATTAGAGCGAAAGAGAGCGAGAGGGGGAGATACCCAAAAGGCAATCAGGAGTCCATATTAATTATGCTAATGATTTGGATTTGCTACTTCATTAACCACCATTTTGAGCTGGTTGATCACCAGGGTAGCAACTGTGAGGAAAAAAAGAAAACAGATGAGAGACAAAGAGAGATTGTGTGGTTGGGTGTGTGCATACATCTCTCTGCATGCATGTAGGCACATGTGCTAATTACTGCAGCTGGTAATTACTGTAGAGACACTTAGCAATCAATTAGGCTCTGTTCCTGGTCTTTACAAGCAGATAATACTGTATGTACCTCACTCTTATTAATAATTCTAATACTTCTTGAGTGTTAATTTTAGTCAAAGATCAACAGTGATGAACCCGTGTGCTGGGTGGAGACATTTTCTCAGATTTAGGGGAAAATTTCTCGCAGTTTTCTTTGTAAAACAGCAGGTGGGAGCAGAGTTCAGTTCAAGTGTGACTTACCATTATACTCGTCTTTTCTTGTCAAAAGACTGATGCTCAAATTACTGTTATTTCTGGAATATTCCATTACACTGTTTATTGAGGGGGATTAAAGAGAAAAAAAAGAGTTTCCAATTTAATGCAGAGCTTTTGCCAGTCAGGTTTTAATTCAAAATCAAAGTTGTGTCAAGCTAAAAGTCATGTTGGATCAATAAACAGAAATGTGATTGGCATCAGACAGAGAAGACACTTAATAAACACAAAGAAAATAATGTTATATTGTGGCTGGAATTTCTTTATGTGCTCTTGATTAGTAAATTGGACACTGGTATAAAAGAAAACATAATTTAGCGTAGGATTAATATACCGTAACATAGCCCCATCAGTCCAATAAAGAAGTGATCTTCTGTTGGTTTAAGGAATCAAGTTTTCGATCAGCTGGAGGTCTAGAGAGAGATAAGCAGAGAGATAGAGATAGAGAAGTAATGCTGCAGCCAGTTGCTTCTGGTTGAGTGCACAGAAAAAGGTGGCTGTGCTTTTATTCAATTATTATTTATTGGCACAGATTTTCTAAATGTGGATTTATCTTCCAAGTTCTGGGCCTCAGAGACATCAAAGTCAGTCACACTTAAAGGAGACACACAGAAACAAAGCGATAATTGACATTAGATAAAGAATGGGCTTTCATTGGCTACGTTATTGGCACTAGTGTTCACTATGCTGCTAGCTGGAGGCTAACATTGTATCGTACTTCGAAGTTTTATGGACAGCATATAGGGTGACCATATCCTGAATCCCTGAAAAGAGCGACTATGCGGGGGCGGAGTCACGGAGTCGCATAAAGTTAATTTAGAGTTTTTTGGACGGATCAAGTGTCTTTTACGCGCTTCTCACTCAGTAAGTTCACAAGACACAAACTCGAAACTTCCATACAAAACCGCGGACATTTGAAGAATTTTATACCAAGCTGGACAGCCCCCCAAAAAGAGGACATGTCCAAGTAAAAGAGGACGTATGGTCACCCTAGCAAATAAGTGACCAAACATCCAACATGGCTAATTGCTATTAATTTAAAAAAACAAAAGTATCAAGATTTGGGTCCCACATTTAAGCCTGTAGGTATTGAGAAAATCGCTTTTACCCAAAATAAATTAAAAACTTTTCTTTTCTTTTGTTATTAACGTCATAAATTTACAGTGGATGTGATTCTACATTTATCCATAACCCCACAGAAACCCACATAAATCATGATACCATAAACTAGGCTGTAGTATCAACAAAATCTTAGTTTTGTGGGACAACATTGAACGTAAATAGAAGTGCATAAATTAAAACTTTATCCCCGGTTGTATGTGACACATTATATGAATTACTGTCCTTGTCAACAGCTGTGTATGCAAGCCAGTTAGGAAGCAACATTGTGGACTTGTTGAAACAATGCGTACATTAGTATTTAACACACGCCAGCATGTACTGTAATGTAGATCGGTGTATTCCTGCCTTCTACGCATATTACTAAATCAATATTGAAGCATATAAATCAATATTGAATTGAACCAGTATCGAATGACAACTCAAAGAATCAATTGAATTACTTGACAATGCCCAGCCTAAACTGGATCTCTTGCTCCAGCTTTTGATTTTCTACCTATATAAGCCAGTTTTTTCAAAAAACCTTCAACAACAGGTGTGACTGGGGCCACATAAGCTTGCGAGCTAGCAAGCAGTCATTTTTAACATGGAAACAAGCCTGATGAAATATGCAGACAAAAGGAGTGTGTATGAGGAGCTTGTCTCCGTTTACTGGTGTAGTCCCTGTTATGACAATAAACAAACTCTCTCTCTCTCACACAAACACACGGTTTTCTACCTTTTTCCCGAGATTTGGGTGTTTTCACCCTTTTGCTCGATTATCAGGGTATAATTTCGTAAAGCATTTTATCTATAAACTTTGACATGTTACACATCAGAGAAAAATTATCCAACCATGAAGGATTAGTGCCTTCAGGAAAGCCCCGGAACAACCCAGCGTCCCTATACAGCAGCCTGAAATGAAAAGCAATTCCATGCCTAAATGAAAATGTATTGCCAACGATTCATTTCAAATTTATCATCAGCAAGAATCACAGATTGTCTTCTGCCTGCATCAAGATTATTTGCTGGCTCGACAAAGACAAAGGGAAAAATTAGGTCTTTTATATTCCAAGACTGTCACTGTCAGCCAAGAGCGGACATCAGTATCTGTGGTTGTTCACTTTGAAAGCAATTTACATGAGCTGAAATAAGATGAGTTTGGGTGGAGGATGGGCATGGAAAAGGATTGGAAATCAGGACGTGAGGCTGTCAAATCAGAGCAAAGTCATTTTCGATAGATGTTTGCCCACGTTGCAATAATTGATTCGTCTTTGTTCTCGGGCTAGAGTGTACAAACATGGCAAGTGGTCTAGAGAGGCGTGTGTCTGATTTATAGAGCACTGCAGCACTCATAGACACTTCGCAGACCTCTCTCATCGTGTCTCAATCTGAAACTTCATTTGACAAGACCTGATGAAACTCAACAGCACGTACCACCCTTCAGTTTCATGCTTCTATTGATGTTTCTCATGTCGTTCTAGCCCATGTACCCCTCTTTGCAGACCATCATCATTGCTGCTTGATTTATGGTCTGGCTCTCCAGCTGGCGGTTCACAAAGTTTCATTAGCTCCGTAAAACATCAGTGAACAGAGTGATCACTATGTGTAAACACTGAAGGAAAACACTGAAATATTAGTACCTTTCCTCTGCTTAAAAGATCATTTTAGCTTCTGAGAAAAACACTTTGACAACCTAAAATTACAGTGCTTGAGCTGATTATAATTAGCTTAAAAGTGCTAATAAAACGACATGAAAATAACACAAAATTCAAAGTTTAACCTTGTTTATACACCCATAAATTGTGATTGAAATAGGCTCAGATTTCTAATGTGCATAAGTCTATGTATCAAAAATGTAAATTTATAGTTATAGCTTAAAACAAGATCAGTGTTACAGTTGTAGCACCTTTGCTAGGTTCTAATAAAGCTAACCCTAACCCTAGGTTATTGAGTCTTTTCATAATAATTTGCATAAGAAGCAAATGTGAACTAACCTTGTGCCTCTTTCAATCAGGTGCTTTATCAACATGTTATTTTTACCACTTTTCTACCCAGAACTTCCTGTATATTTCTTTTCAAAATAAAAGCAACACTGTTTCTGGAAATAAACATATTAAATTGAGAAGAAGTCATTTCCAGTGTACACACTCTTAAAAACAGGAAAACACCACTTTCACATCTATGGGACAAAATCAGCTAGGAGATAGGGTACTGCTTTCACCACAAGGGGGCACTAAAATGGACACAAACTCAAAGTTCTTTGCAGAAGCTGAAAAGGCCTAACTGATTCTAGTTTCTTAATTTTCTGACCATCACTTGTATAGAAACATAAAACCTTTGTAAATATAAGCTCACCAAAAGAGTCCTCATACAAACACAAACCACACATAGTCCCCACTTTCACACAAAACAAGAATATAAAAATGTGTCAAAAAAGCTGAACTGTGCTCCATAGTAACATGTAACCTTATAGATCCAGACAATGACACAAACTGAGAATGAGTCAAAGTCAGTGTCAGTTTGTAATAAAGCAGCCTGAGGCAGTAGATAAGTAAAACAATGAAGATTAGATAGTGTCACTTTCCCCCCCAACATTAGAGACAGAATTATTTAGCTTCAAAAATACTGATTACATTGCCTCGAGGCTACAAGAATACCTGACAGAAAAATGTCACTGCATGTCCCTTGAAAATGACTCATTATTAATGCGAGTCTTATGAACAACACAATCAACATTTACAAGGTGGAGCAGCCTTGGTTAATCGTTTCACCCCGGAGAGAATTGTTGAAAGGCCACTTGATCACAAAATTATGAAAACATCTCCTTTCATGACTCACTCAAACAAAACTCAATTTAAAATAATTTCTAAATTTCTGGAAGAATTCATGTTGTAGTGTTTTTCAATTTTGGATTACTAGTTTTTATTCTGAATAGCACTTTTTGAATTTTTCAATACTTTTCACAGATCAATGTAACTTTGTTTTAAGTGATCGAGAACACAGCGCTCTCCATACTGAGTGGATGATTTATTTTGACCCAGAGAGTACAAAACATAAAAGGTTAGCATACAAGCTAGCAGACTAGTTTAGCATTGTGATGACTAAACTAGTCTGCTAGTTTAGTATTGATATTTTGATATCGATTTTTGATAATTTTGATATTGTGAGACATTCATACAGTGAAAATGTAAAATGTAAACATGCACTCATACCCAGAAACAAAGGGCTCCTTTGCTTTTTCTGGATTATTTAGGAAATTGCATAGAATTTCTTTAATCATTCAACATTTTGAGGTTATTTTCAAATAAGAGAAGTTCACATGACAGACCTATTTTTATAGATATTTTTATTTCTGTTTTTACAGACTTTTTGTCACAACAAAGTCAGCGAGAGCATCTTTTCTTTTGTCGATTACATTGTTCATTTTGAAGCAACCAAAGAGGACCAGCAACCATGTCATAGCGAAAAAGCAGAGGCAATTTTGACATGCAGCAAAAAACAGGCAGGGCTTCCAACTGCATCTAACGCGAGGGGGATGCTAACAGCCCCAAGCATGTATTTTCACCTCTAACCCCCATCTACCCATCACACAGAGCCCCACAGCCCATCAATTACAAAATACACACAGAGAAGATGCAACAAAAGGGGAATTTTTTTGCTCTGAAATCTCACTCCAGGGATGACAAAATGAACACAGTTTTAAAATTCTTTATTCTATTATGTGATGTTAACATCGCTTCAAAAAGGGATTCAGTAACAGATTTTTAAAATTGCAACATTCAAGTCTTTCTAGTTAGCCAGCATGGTGATTGGTCGACAGAATATCTTTAATGCTTTACCATCGTAAAATTTTCCAAAACACACTTTTTTGATATGTAAGTGATATGCCAAGTAGAAAAAGAAAGTCTAACCTCTGGACCTCTAAACACACTTTCCAAAATTTCATGATTGGGTTGGAAGGACATTTTGGTCTGTTAGAAAAAGAAATCAAGGTCAGATGAAGAGGCCACATGTAATGAAGAGTTCATCTAATGAAACTTTACAACTTCTCTTTTTCAACTATCTACTATAGTACAGTGCAATTACTGTTCATGAGATTATGCCCTGGCAGAACAACACCTTTACTGAATTTGTAAAAAATGTCAATACACTACTCTCTACTTTCTTTTCATTTCTTTACAGTTTAAAGAGAAGACGGCAAATGTCAAATGTGTAAATAAGTGCGAGCTTGCTTTTCATTACATTACAGAGTGATTTTTCTAGTCTGAGCAGTGGTCTAGGATCCAGGTGCAAGAGCGCTCCCCCAGTGTTTGGTCCCTAAGGGAGATTTAATTGACAAGTCTGTTAAATGGCTACAGACAGAGGCCAAAAGAAAAGGGAATCCTACCCCCAAAACTTGGAAAAGAAAGAAAAATAATAACAAAAACAAAAAACAGGGCAAAGGAAAATCACCAGACAGATAAAATGACCTCCAACAAACAGACAAAAGCAGTGTTAAGACAGAGGTTGATTGGGTTAAAAAGGGGACAAGTCCATCTCCTGTCAGGGGACCACTGCATCCATCTGTCCGTCCGTTCACCCACCTGTCCGGCCACCTCCTACCACCGCTGTGTCTCACTTGAGCAGATCCCTAATGGCTGCGGACTCAGCTGCAGCTTCAAAGACACTGACGCCACCCGGTCCTGTTGCATCTTTGTCAGCTCCCTGCGGAGGAGAGGAGACATGAATATTAAATATGCTTAGAGGGTGTGTAAACTCTCGATCACAGTATGATGCCAACTTCACTTCATTGAGTGAGGGTGAAGGTGAAGAGCAGCGACCTGGATCTTTAGCCTCTCTTAGAGCTAAGTGCCCAATCCCTGTTTTGCACTTCAATGGAGCCAGACATGCAGAAAGGAGGATAAACATCTCAAAGTTGGGTTCAGAGGTCAAAACACAACATGGAGAATCTTGATCGGCCTTTTCAAGACCCGAATAATGATTATATACTGACAGAATTTTGCTCTTAGAGTCTTACAGTGTGCAGGAAAGCACTGGAAAGTGTTTCACGGGATATTGGGTATCGGTGTCAATAAAAGGTTCGAAAGGAGAGCATCTACTGTGATTTCATTGGAACTTTCAGCCCTGGGATCCCCATGTGGTTAGTTTCCAGGCCAACAATAAGCCAGAGCAGGGACCTTCTTCTGGGCCAGAAACAACATTAGTCCCATCATAACCTTAAAGTGTTTGGACTCTTTTCAGAAGTGCAAGAACCAAGAGTCTGTGCTGAATTTTCTGTAGCCAAATATAAAAGAGCAGCTTTTTCAAGACGAGGTCAATATGGCGTTTTTTTTTTTTTTATGTTTTCAGTGGTGTTTCTGCGAATGCCTTTAAATGACCCTTTTCCAAAAAGTCCCTGGCGTTTCATGGGAAATATCAGTAGCTGAACAGAAGAGTCCATGGCAGGGCAGAGTGCTTGCCAGGGGGTGTTACAGTAGCCTGGCTGGGCCATCCAGTTACGTGAATCACTTGCCGTACCTTGCCGCAACAGTCTGGACTTTGGCCAATTGGGAGCCCTAAAAGTGGGCGGGAGTACTTTCCTTGATAGACAGCCTACTGTAACCCATCACCGTAACCAAACATCTGACGTCATCACAGTGCGCAACTGTGTTCCCTGCTGGGCTCTCGAGCATCAAGTAAAGGTTTGGTAATATTTCAACATGTGCGAGCAAACAATGTCTTTTACGTCTTCTTCTGCGGATATAAACGATTTCTGCCGACTTTGCAAAGTCAACTGCAGAATTAACGGCGTTCTGAATGAATGGCGCTTTGAAAAGTCCTGCAGCATGTGCTGGACGTCGCCATCTACACATGGACCAATCAGGGGCTGTCTTTCCCTGTTGTCTGGGGAACAGTGGAAACACAGTCACTGATTGGCCCGGTTATTTTCTGATTTCTAATACATGCTCCCAATTGGCCGAAGTCTAGACTGTTATTAGAGGCTAATGTGAAGTTGTCAACATTGCACTTTTGTTGGGAAATATCACCAGTGGTTTGATGTTGGTAGAAACAGCTATATTGCACATCAGTATGATATCAACTTCAGCTGTCTGTTCTATGGCCACAAACCTTTAACTAACTTAGTCAGCTACAAAAAATAGAAATTGCAAAACTTTTGTCACTGACTTTTCTCTCACTCTGAAACTAATAACTCGCCTGTCAGCCTGTCTTCATCCAGACAGGACATGCAAAACAAAGTCCCAGACGCTGAGGCGCGAATCAATTTGAGCTTTGAGGGATAAAAGAATGAATGTGACAAAGATAGGAGTGGACGCAATCCAGTGGATTACTCAGGACTAAAAACAAATCAAGGAAAAAGAGAAAAAAAACAAGACAGCAGGCATGCAGTGTGTTGAATGCACATGTAGTGACAACAGATTTAATAGGCAAAAAAGGAGAGAGGAGGAGAAGTAAAGAGAGACTTGTCTTTGTTTGGCCTGCCAACTTTAGCCTCTTAGCAAAGAGCTTACAGAGCCCAGGCAGAAAGAGTCTATTGTTGCGTGGAGAAGCAGGGCATCAAAAACAATGTGCCCTACTTCGACCGCCCAGCAGTGTGAGGAGGTTTGTCTGGGTGCATATTCCAAGCCACAGGAGCAGCAGAGCGCATCCAGAGAAAGAGATTTACCAGAGCTGAGCTGGTAACCTGTCAGATCTGCATCTCTAATTGGTATAAAAGACGGAAAACTGAGACTCCATGTTTCTAGGAGGAGCAGACTTGTCAGCGCTCTGGTTGTATAACATGTGAACTGGTGACCCAATATCCACTGAGGGATCATTCTTTCATGGATAAAATAACATAACTAGATCATACCAGACTTCTTTTTATTAACTTTCAGTCCGTCTTTGTTCTTGGATCATGTCCATCTCATTCACAGTACTCCCTAGATTCTGTATGGGGTTGGCTGGTCAATCAAGTACAGTAATATTATAGTTGGCAAACTATCTGGTGGGAGTTTTGGCTAAGTCCTGCTGGAAAAGAAAATTGGCATTTCCACAAGGTTTGTCGAGTGTGAAGTGCCCTGAAATCCCCCAGAAACACAAACCAGTGTCTTTATTCTTGCTTGCTATTTTGCAGAAAATTTCACACGACTGGTTGTTTCTTACTGGAGATATTTATGTTATGAGCTTCAAAACAGGTCAATTATTCTCTGAGCTGTCGGGTGTTTGGGTTCATGAGGGAGACAGATACTGTTTTTACATCTGTAATACTGAATAGATCAACAAAAAAAAACTGAGATCAGGGGTGTGAAATTTTCAAATAACTGCAGGCTCGTTCATTTTTAAGTACATGGCAATCAATCATTTTGCTCTCCACTTTTTTGTTATCAGTGGCCGATGGGAGGATAGGTGGCAGATCTCCCTCCCTCGCTTCTACAGCTCCGGGGAAGTCATTAGCAGCTTGTTTAGGACCTTACTGACTCTACAGACCTAATTTAGAAAACAGGAAATGGCCAAACAACGACAAGAACGCTCTCATCTCAAAACAGGGAAACAGCACATATACGCACCACTATACTTGAAGTGAAAAGATCTCTAAAATTGGCATTCCCTTCTGATAACTTCACTCTTGTGACCCAGACCTTTTTCTTCAGGGTCTGCCAAAGACTGAAACACCTTAATGACATTTATGGTAGACTTACAGAAATAGCTCTGGCCTATATAAATACTCTCTCTTAGGACTCCAGCCATACCATTCCCAATGGCTATCTAGCTTTGGGGCACGCCCCCTGGCACCACTTCCATTAATGAGCTTTCCTCAGCTTGAGTAATGACCCATCACGAACACCTTATGGTCAAATGTTGGCTAGAGCAGCTCATGCCAAGTGAGACACGGCTGTACGATTAAGAATATAGACTTGGGGGTGTCTTCGGGTTAATTCATTTGGGGGTTATGAAACGGCACTGGACTGCAGTGTGACACAAGTGGAATATTAAAGAGTGTGTGAGGTTTTCATCATATGGAAATGAAAGTTAATAGAGCTGGATGATAAATTTAGTTTTACAGACTATCAGGCAGCCACAGGTAAAGGGAGGAGAGCAAGGAGAGGAGCAGAAGGAGACAGGTGTGACAAGATGGAAGCTGTGGTGATCGTGAGTGTGCACACTTTGCTAACAAATTGACTACTGGGTTAAAAAGTGCAAGACTTCATTCTGAATCATAATAAATTACAAGTTTTGACATAATATAGAACATTTTAAAAAGCTATATATATAATCATGATATCGATATCAGTCAAAACAACGGTGATTTTGGTGATTATAGATGATTAACAACAACAACAACAACAAAAAACGTGTTTGGTTACTGTACAAAAAATTTACCAAACTGACTTTTTCAAACCCACAAACCAAACTGTTTCTGCACTGTTACTAGGGCTGGGCGGTATGGACTCAAATCAATATCATGATATATTGAGCAGTTCACCTCGATAACAATAAATGGACGATAACTACTCCACAAACTTCTCACCCCCTCCCACATTAACTTTGTCTACTTGAACTGGACTTGAACTTTTGGATGTGAGTAGGGAGATCATAGCCTCCCTACGCACATCCAAAACTAACTTCTATTTATTTATTTTTTTGACCCTGATTATTTGAAATGGGCAAAATGACGTCGGTTATTGTTGTAAATTACGGTATCCGTACATTTTCTGTTTATCACCCAGACCTAGCCATTAGTCTGGAATTATTAAGTTAGTTCGAGCCTTACGCTAGCAAAACAGCCTTGACAATAATGTCCATGAGTCAGTTTTCTCACGTACTCTGGGTGTAAATAAATAAACAAACAAACAAACAAAGGGCAAATCTCTGTATTAAGGTCACATCCACCATAATGAGGAAACCTGAGGGGTGAAGTTGAAAAGACAAAGCCACAATAGGAACTGACTTGACACAATAATACAGCCATTCTTCCCACTCAATGCTTATGTACACAGATTCTTGTAGAGTAGAAGTGTGTATTCATGTGTGTATGTCAGTGTGTGCCCTTTCTTATTGTTGACTCTAAATTAACTGGCCACCCTCTGCAGGTTGTAGTCAGCACTCTCAGCCAGAAACCTTACAGCTGAGTCACCTATAGGGGTTAAAACGGTCTTTCATAATTCATTTTCAAACAACAGCTCAGCATGCAGCCTCCAGGGCCAGGGTCAGCTCCCATGATGCACTGGGGGACCGGGCCATTTTGTTAGCAAACACAAGTATGCCTGACAGACAAATAGACACAATACAATATCCCCATCTGGTGCCTTTCACCCACTGCAGAGTGGTGACTGTGGAGCTACAGGTGCTGCCAGACAGAGTGGATATGCTGCACAGTCAGCATTGTGGCTTCGGGACGATCCATTCATGGCGTGTTAAGACGTGGGGCGAGTTTTTGGAGTAGATGTATTGAGAGCTGGCCCCTGTGGTGGCTGACGACCTTTCAGATGCGTCCGGGTGTTAATACTTGTCAGTGCTTACTGGGGATGAGCGCAGAGCCGCGAGAGGAGCAAACCCGTGGGTTCGCTCATATCTTCGCCTGCCGCTATAATCCCTGTTCAGATGAGCTGTGGCTGCCTGTCTCGACTCATATGATACCGCAGATGAAGGCTTTTTTTTAAGGTCTACCCGGGGGTTTTAATATCCAATGCAGAGGTGGTGCTTGCATAGCTGCTAGCAGCTATTTCAGATGCAGAAGGGCTCGTGGCTTTTAAGAGGATGTACTGCAGTAGTGGATATGTGACTGGTAGCAGGGGAAATAAAGGGAAATGACTGTGGTCAATAATGAAGATCTAATAAAAAAATAAAAAGGATCATAATTTGAAATCCAATTTCAACATTTTTTAGTGGATGTCTTATTAAAGGTTGGGCAGGCAGGAATCCGTTAAAGAAGCATCTTTTTCTGTGGTGTAAATACAAAAAGCGTTCAATGTCAGTCAGTAGTTATTAGTTATTGATGACATTTGGGAATATCACGATTTATCTGCATTATATCTGAATTTAATTGGAAAGATACGGACAAGCAGGAGTGTCTTGTTGGGAGGGGTAGTGTTTATATTCAAGATTTGTCCCAAAAACTGGCACTTAGTCAGATCCTGCCTACCCCACCTTTAAATAAACCTACTTTTATGACGGTAACTCTCATTATTTTCAGTAGACCTATTTGGGGCAGAGATAAAACCAATGTGAGACTGTAACCCTAAAACGGCTGTTTGTATTATCTTGTTTACAAATTTGAAAGTTACTTAAAGAGCTTTTAGTTGATGGTTTTCTCTGTCCAACCCAATAACAGCTCCATGTAAGGTGGAAGTCAGTCAAATCTGCCTGTCCGTGCGTGCCAGAATTACGTTCGCAACTTTGAGAAGGGGGAACTAGGGATATTAAACTGCCATCTTCTTCCTCTTGGCGTCGGCTACTTCTTTCTGTGTATCTCCGTGCCAACTGATCCGACAACCAGCTGACGGCGGTAGCCAGCTGCCGGCCAGCTGCTGGCCAATTGCTCACTAGACTCTGTTGGCTCCTGGATGCGAGGGGCCGAGGCGTGCTGTTGTGTGGATGAAAGTGGGGGATTCATAGAGCCGATGCCAACAGGAATAAGTAAGCGATGGAGTACCCTGTTAAGTGTCTCTCTGATTGAAAAAACAGTGTTTCCCGAACATGGATTACAGCTTCCTCTGCTTCAAAGTGATGTTCAAACTGTAAATCAATAGAGGTCTGCTTGAATGGAACATATGCGATAAAAAAAAAAAAAAGATTTCTCTAATCATTAGTGTGTGAGGTAGTTTGTGAATGCCTCTTCTCCTCCTCCCATTGCTTTTGTTGAAGCTCTGTATGTAGGGAAGCTTTCACTCTCTCTGCCTCATTTAGCTTGGCTGGAGACAGACAGCTGCTCACTCACTGTCAGCCTCTAAACCTCTCTCTCTCTTTCCATCCTACATACATAGCGTATCTTGGTTAGCAGGAGACTTTAATGGTTTGGGATTCCAGCCTTATACCTGCTAACCTTCCAGGGATTGTGAAACCTCATCACCAGAATTTATATAAGAGCATTTTGATCTCCGAAAATCAGGATTAAGTTGTTTGTAGACCTTGTCTGGTAGCCTTGGTATGTAAGTACGTTACTGGAGCAAGTGTAATCTGCACAGGCGTGTTAATCTGCAGGGTGGACCCAGGGCTGGGCGATAGGGCTTCAAATCAATATCACAATTATTTAGCAGTTCATGATAAATAACGATAAATGGATGATAACTACTCCACAAACTGCTCACCCCCTCCCACATTAACTTCATCTACTTCAGCCGCTACAACTTTCAAACCGTCCTCCATTTCCTCACCTGTCTTTCCCTCTTTGTTACTGGATGGGGTGGAGTCACGTCTCTGGCGGGGGACAGCATCTTAAAGGGGCATGTGACCATAGCCTACCTACACACATCCAAAACCAACTTTTATTTATTGATTTTTTTGACACCGAATATACCGATATGGGCAAAATGACGTTGATTATTGGCGTAAATTTAGGTATCAGTAAATTTTTGGTTTATCGCCAAGCTGGTGATGCTAGCTCTGCCAGTGTTCACCATACTGCAAACTAGTTTTTCATTGTTAACTCACAGATGCTGTGATCCTGTTTTTTTAGCTCTGTTGTATTTGCTTCCTGTTTGGTTGAGTTTCTTCAGCCAGTCATGTCAGCCTTTAGAGTAGTGGAGCTGTGTCACTCAAATACCTCAGATACTTCAGTGTTAGATTGCTGGAGCCGGGGGCCTCCGACAACCATCCTCAACAAGGACCTTGTACCCGTGTTTTACATCACACAGGTCCCCAAAATATGTTCTGTCATGGTATTTCCTTCTATGGACCCTCCATATGTTCACCTAAAGCTCCTTAATATATGTTGTTCTTTGTTCTTACCGTACATGGATTTTTCTTAGGGTCAACTAAACATCAGCAGTATGTTTGGAAATGTGGACAGATATATATACTTGAACAGTCTCAGACCAATCTTTGTTACACTTTGGCATGATGAAGCTGTAACCCAGATCTGTAACCAGTAAAGCTTATCAAAATGATCATTCGTGTGGACCTTACATATTTTAATGTGTGACGACGGGCTAGGCATCCTTACACTTCCCTTTGACCATTTGCTTCTTAATTTTTTCGTCTTTGGATTTGTTGGCTTTCCAACATTTCAGTATTCTTTTAAACAACTAGGAAATCAGTTACTGTGAAACACTAATTTCGGCTTCTGTTCCACTTAAGAGCCGAGCTTCACTTTGACAGTTAAGTGGCATTCATCAATACACTTAATAATAAAAGGGTGTCTCCTTTCACATTTTAGCACCAGAGATTAAATTATGTGTTTATAAATTAGAAAATTGGAGGTACATTCGTTTGTTTTATCGACAAGAAGGAATAAAAGAGACAACGACCCTGAGGAGGTTCTGAAAGACAAGTTGCTTTTGTGGCCCATATTTGTGTGACATTCATTGATCACTCGGGCATCAATTTCTCTGCAGTCTGGCTTATTTGTCGAGTTGTGGAACAACTCCAGCGGTCTAGATGAGATCTGTCAGCTTCTCGTGTATGACTGGCGTGTATCCACATCGGCAAAGACATGCGAGAAGAGCTTTACCAACTACAGATGAGGCTTTCTATTTGAATACGACGGAGTTGAAAAAGATCTGTTTTCTTCTGTTGCGTGACGTCGGCTGGATTGGACATTCATTACAGAACGCTTGTTATTGAGTTACATTGCTACCAGCTGTGCCTGGCTCAGTGTTGTCCCCCTCCTCTCAAGCTGTGACTGTGTGTGCAAATGTCCCCATCTATCTGTCTGGCTGAGGTAGCGTTGAAGATGATTCTAGAGGAAAAACAACTGAAGGATGGGGAGAATAGACGGACTGAGGAAAGGCCTGGCTACCTTTGAATGAAACTGCTCGATAACGCAGACACAAAACAAGACAAGGGCTGCGATACTGTGTAATGCTCTATGAACATTCCAGCACGTCCTCCACATTGCTGCGTTTAAAGGGCCTTTTGTCCAATAAGTTACCTCATCAGCACAGTCTCTGACACACTAGCATGCACCAGTGGGTGAAGGAAAAGAGGCCGTTTCTGTGTAGCTGCTGAGTACTGACCTTTTCCAACAGGACTTTGACACAGGAGACGTTACTCTCGTAACAGGCGCAGAGCAGCGGAGTGAGTCCGTGCTTGTCTGTGGCCTGTAAAGAGTAGCAAGTGAGAAAAGCACGAGTTGGTGACAGAGCAAACAAATAAACAAATAAATCTAAGACCAATGATTTAGGTTTGCAATGAACCCTGTACACAGCTGAAAATTGTACAAAGACAACATATCAAATGATGAAACTGAAAATGTCATGGTTCTTTGTTGGTGTAAAATGTGATATGTGCCAAGTTTAAATCTGATAACAGCAATATTTTCAAAATAAAACGCTAACAAAAGATCAGAAATGCTCAATGAACACCTCCCAACTTACTAGGTTGACTGAAAGTAAAGGCAGAAGTAAAAGTTCGCTACTCTGTGAGAGGCTGCGTGAACAAATAGCCTAATAATTTTAGAATACTGTTCCTGTCTCATTATCTGGTTTGGTGTGACCTTTGGGCCCTTGGGCAAAACTGCAGAACAAAACAGACATGACTCCGTAGAGGAAATCATTACATGAGCTTGAAAGCGCATCCAGAATCAATTGTCTGTGAAAAAGGATTGTTGGTGCGTGGTACAGGTTCAAACTGTGCCATGCAAAGAGTAAACCGCATAAAAATATGGTCCACATACAACAGGGACTTCTCTCGACCAGAGCCCATTTAAGATGGACTGAGGCGAAACAGAAACCTACCTTGGGGTAAAACTAATCTATCAAATCTTGCCATTCTTTTGGGAAATTATGGAAATCTTGGTCTAGTCTAGTCTTGTCATCGTCACATTTTAGTCATCTAAGACTTATGTTTAGCTCGTCAACGTCACGTCTTCGTCGTGGAAAAAAAAGGGGCTTTGCCAACGAAAGCAACACTGATCTTGGCTTCCCCCTCGAAGAAGAGAGGGACCATCTGGCTTGTTATCAGCACACAGTTCAAAACCCGACATTTGTGATGGTATGGAAATGTAATCACATAAAACAAAAACAAACTTTCAAAGTATAAACTCTTGACAAATCCTCCTACATTGTTTTTTCATATTCATGAACTATTGCACACAGGCACTGTAATGTATAGTGTGCATTTAGATCCTTGACATTAGACAAATCACTTGTGATAGGGGCTTGAAGTTGCAGCTCTTACATTGATATCTGCCCCCTTAGAGAGGAGGTACAACACCACATCTGACTGATCGAAGTCCGCAGCGAAGTGCAGGGGCTTCCTCCCGCCGTGCAGGGTCCTGTTCACATCATCAGCCTGGAAAAAGGAAATGAAGGCACATTAACAGGGCTGGAGCAGATAAATGCAAAGCTATCTCAAAGCCACAACATGCAGTAAAGGGTGGAGTTAAATGGGGTGAGTGGAGGGTGGGGGAACGGAAACTTGGCTTTTTGATACCAACCACAGACAGACGCTTTGGAGCCAAAAATAACACATTCACCCCTGTTTTTTTTTTCTTTTTTTTTTGTCGTTTGTTTCTTAACCACAGCGACCACACACGCACACTTGGTCAATGCTGGGTGGCCTTAGGGTGGAAATACCTGCCGAAAGCTATGGCTGCGGCTGTCAGCTCAGGGTTTGTCTCACAGTCCTCATGATTGATAAACTGTCTGAATAAACGCGAAGGCAAGTGAGATAGGACGCATTCATTTAGTCAGAAAACTGGCGGCCAATACGGGAAAACTGACGCTGGATAATTTGAATAAAACTCAGTGGGAGGCTCCGTCAAACAAAAAGGGGGAATCAGGTTACTTCAGACCCCCGTATGAAAACACCTGATCTCTGCGTGATGGGTTTGTGCGTTTGCTCTTGTTGCCTCAGGGGAATTAGATAACTGAGAGGCGATGAGATGCAAATCTAAAGAGGGAAATGATCGCACTTGGAGCCCTTTTTCACACATGAATGCTCGACATTTTCCAGACAATTTTAGAACTTTATGTATCCAGGAATTCAGCGTTAACACATGCACCTTACAGCAGGAGATTATCTGTGACGGATACACTTCTACGACTAGAAATACTGTGTAAGGTCTCAGTAGGGGAGGGTGGGGGGCAGCTGGGTAACACATGCAGAAGAATGAGGAGGATTCCAGATAAAATAACTTCAACTTGTTTGGGGATGTCACCACAAGATGGTGGAAACTCTATCAGTCACTTGAATGACCCACTTAACAACGGTAAATGTTCAAGACTCAAACTTGCTGCATGAACACATCAGTTGATTTTATACAGGTAATTTCCAAAAAGGTCTGAAAAACATCTTGATGAAATATTGACCTGTACACTTTCATACAAGCGCCCCCCAGGAATGATGTTTGGGAATTGTCCAGTGCATGTCTAAAAGGGACTTAGGAGATGTTGTCTAACACACCTGATTCAAATGATTAGCTCGTTATTAAGCCATTACAGAGCTTCATAACGAGCTGATCATTTGAATCAGGTGTGTTGGAGCAGGGAGACATCCAAAACATGCAGGACAGTGGGCCTCCAGGACTGGACTTGAGAATCACCGCTATAGTAAACTGACCAGAGATTTTAAAAATCTGTAAATTTGCTTTTTGAAACTTAATATGACATCCCCCTGCCTTTTCACAGCAAACGGAAGGACCTGTGAGAGCGGATAACACTAAAATACAAATATTGTTTGTCATGGCTGCATTCCTGTTTTACGTTCAAGTTCAAGGAGAAGTATTTCACTTTTAAAAAATAAAAACGTTTGCTTCCTTGCTGTTAGTTTACGCCATGCTCAGCAGTGGGAAGAGGATGTGTACTTGATATGCAAAGAGAAACCCTTTAAACTGCCTGATAGTAGAGTCTTCTTTAGCTGTGTGACAGGGTGTTTAATCAGTCCATAAAGTAATAATATACAAAGTCCAACACCATCGTCGACAACTTTACCGCGATCCTTGACCACATTTGTTTAATCACCCAGCCTGAGTCTGTGCTGATGGTTCACAAGGAAGTACAGCAGGGGAAAGCTGCGTTGCATCACTGCACTGTCTGGGTAGTGAGTGTACTGTAGGCTTTCACATACTCCTACATCAGAGATACACTTATTAAGCAATATCAGTGTGATCAAATCATGATAGCGAAATTGGACTGGACCATCTATTAGATATTTGTGATGTAGTGCTGTATACTACAAAGTTTTTCTACCAGCTAGTAGCTGTACAGCTGTATCTGATTGTTATGTGAACATTTTGTCCTCCATGACGGCACCACAATGACACAATTTTGTGGCCTGCAGCTGATGGCATCATCACCACTCCAGGACGAGTCCTGGCATTAAAGGGATATTCCAAAGTAAAATTAATTTAAGGTCAAATACATTGTAGCACCAAGTTAGACACCCCCTCTAGATACAAGTGTCGCCGACCGCTTGCTTCCCTAGTGATACCAACTTTAGTAACGACCACATGATAGCAATACACAGCGGTCTGAGGAGCCATCAACAAACCTCAACCAAAACGCCACTCTATAGCCACAAATAATACTCAGAGCAGCACCTAACTTCATCAACAGTACATATAGGGTCCTAGCCACAGCACTAGCCACAACTCACCTACTCTCCTCCAGCAGCCACTTGTTCGTAGCGAGACCTCAGGCCAGTCCATTACGGACTGCTGCGGGGTGACGCAGCTCAAGGAAGAACATTTATGATCATTTATCCTTTTCTTAAGGTAATGTTCAACATAATAATCATTTTGCACTGCAGACATGGTAGTTCTTCTGCCTTAGCGTCTCGGTCTGATTGCATTTCCATTAGGAAATGATCATAAATGTTCTTCCTTGAGCTGCGGCACCCCGCTGCAGTCATTGTGACTGCCCTGAGGTCTCGCTACAAACAAGTGGCTGCTGGAAGAGAGTAGGTGAGTTGTGTTTAGTCGCTTTGCTAAAGAAATTAGTCAAAGTCAAAAAGATGTTTGGTGACTAGTACTATGGCTGGGACCCAATATGTACTGTTGATGAAGTTAGGTGCTGTTCTGAGTATTATTTGTGGCTGTAGCGTGGCGTTTTGGTTGAGGTTTGTTTTCGGCTCCTCGGACCGCTGTGTATTGCTATCGTGCGGTTGTTACTAAAGTTGGTATAACTAGAGAAGCAAGCGGTCGGCAACATTCATCTCTTGAAGGGGTTGTCTAACTTGGTGTTACGATGCGTTTGACCCTAAATTAATTTCACGGTGGAATATCCCTGTAATAGTGTAAAAGGTTAGAATAAATGAGACAACAAAATGAGACCAAATGTGATTGTTGTTAGGGATGCATGATTTTACCATCATAGATTTACTGTCAGTAGATAATAGCTTATAAAGTTAGTTATTTGATCACTGTACTGGAACTTTAATATTAAAGACATTAATCCAGTTCACAACAAAAACTAAACATGTTTTATTTTCAATGACTTTTCCCATAAGAGGTAAGAGCACAGGCTTCGCTTCTCGTCCTTTTCTACAAGAACAGGGGGAACTTTAAAGTTGTGAAATCGCTTTGGCGCAACAGCCACAAAGAAACTGTTGCAAACACATTTCTGGTCTGTTTTCCGAAAAGCTTAAATGCAGGTCAGTATGGAGGGGAGGGCAGGATTTGCTGTAACCTGCTGGGCCTCCTGCTCCTCCTCTGAGACCCCCGCCTACTCAGGTTAGTTGGAGGCCCGGCAGGTATGGTAGTAAGCCTTTTAACTTGTACCTCAGCTAATAACCAGAGATTAATATAATCCAGGATCGTATTTGTAATCATTCAATGTGACACAAAGGAATATCTGTCGCCTGTCTGTCTGTGTCTGTCTAGTAGCTAATGCTGTTGGTGGTTAGCTTACCAACAGGTTGCTCTCTGAGGATAGTGGCAATAAAATCTCATGCTACTTGATTTACACACGGACAAGAGCTTATTTCAGCTCCAATGCGTCAAACATGACCATGCTAATGACTAATATTACGCTGACAGATCACAGACAGAAACATTGAGCCTCTCTATGGTCAGTGTTCGGTAATGACGCTAGCTAACCATGCTAACATGCTAATCTCAGCGAAGCAGCCGCTTCTCGTTGAGTATTATTGAAAAGAATATCCACAAAATGACAGTTTTCTTACCGTTACTAGCTTGGCTTTGACCTCCTCCAGGTCCCCGGTCTGCAGTGCCCATATCAAGTCCTGCTCAGACATCTTCCCGTGTTAGCTCAGGGCGGGTTTCAACTTCGATGCTCGTTCGTTCAAAGTTAGCCGGAAAACCTCCTCCTCTGTCGTCGTGGTAACCACGCTCCTCAAACTCCTCTCAACAAAATGTCGTTTAATAAGCTGGAGAGATGGTTTAGTTGGATTCGGTATTTGATTGGAGAGCAAAAAAACTGTCTCTAAAGAAGTTAAGAGAGGCAAAGTAGCCGAGAGGGATACGCCTTTCCAGAAGCCAGAAGTGTTTCCGTTGTCCTTCTTCTTCTACTGAGGGTTTACGTCAGTTTGCAGCAGTGATGTCGCTTTACTGCCCCCCTCAGGTCGTAAACTCCACTATAAACCTAGTATAAAGTCCTGTCCACAAAAGTAGAAAACGTAGTGTTGTTTCGACCTTTTTATTTACGGTGTCAGCTCAGTTTTGATTTGTTTTGAGATTGTTTGTTCAATCACATATACATACAGTACAATTTTAGACGAGAAATTCCCTTTTTTGGAGATCGAAAAGGAGTAGGTTGAAGCTATTTAGCTTATATGTACCTACCCTCATTTCTTCCTATTCGTTTACCCTTTACATGTCTCTCAATCATATTCTGCTTTAATTCACTTTAAAACTGTGCTAATGTTTTGCTTTGCTTAAGTTCATCAGGCAAGCTGTTCCACAGCTTCACCCCCACAACAGAAAGACATGCTTTTAAGCTTGGTACGAATGCCTGGTTGTTTTGAATTTTGTTCTCTAGGTATTAAGGTATTTGTTTCCTAATACCTTAATACCTGCCCTCTCTTCCACCAAACATTTTCTGTATATTAGATAGACAGATGTAGATAGATGCATTTATTACTAGGGAGTAGATTGTTACTGGCTTTGTAACAATCTACAATCCCTTTGATACTGGCTTTAAGTGAAGTTCAGTTTGTATTTTTTTTCTTTAGTTGGGGAAAGGCATATTTTTAGAGAAGTTTCCATTTTTAGTGTTGGTTTTGTTTTGCAAGGAAAAGGAAGGAGTGAAAAAACGTGTTTTTCAAAGTGCATTTTGAGGGAAATAAAAGCCAAAAATACCAATAAAGTAAAAATTTAAAGAATAAAGTTGATGGTAGCAAAAGACCCGTGTTACTAAGTTGCCTGAAAGTATTCATGAGTTGAAACCCTTCATCACTCACTGGTAAACTGAGGTTTTCTCTGCTCCTTGTACCAGATTACTTGTCAGTCATGAGCTCACACACAATCAGAACACATACACATGTTGAAATGCAACACATCAAGCTTGACTAAGCCTGCATGGGCTGTTATCAATTGTTTACATGCACATAAAACAAAAGATACCTTTATTAAGCCTCCCTCTCTGGTTTTTACCTTAACATCAGCCACTTTTCTATCTTGGTGCACCTGAACACTGTAACCGCTCCTAAACTCACTCTTCTTAGAGTTTTGGCTTGCACCGTGCCCAGGTCTGTTACTTTGGGAGTCTGATCTTGATCTTAAAAGGCAACTGTAATCCATTACAGAGAGCCTCCAACTCCCACGAACCATCTAATCTCAAAATGCACAATTAATATAATCACAAACGGATGAGCAAACGTATGTCTTCCTGAGTAATTAAATTTTCTTCAACATAGAATCATTTAGCAACCCTATCTGTGTCTTCACTTGAATGGTTTTCTATCTATAAGTAAAGTTTGATAAGAAGCTCCTCTTTCTATTACTCATCACAGGATTAGTGAAGTTCTATCACACTGCAGCCCCAGTCTAAGCTCTACATATACATACAGAGCACTCCTTTCTCTGCAGAAGCAGCTTCATTATGTAGCTACATTTCTTCTATTTTCCAAGAGGTGCACTAACCTCATGTTTCATTATTTGACTGACGTGAATCACAAAGAAATTAGTCACTAATTTCCAAGTCAGCTGTTTTTCTTTTCCAAGTTTCTTCATTGTAAAGTTATTATCACATTTTCCCAGCTTTCCAACTTCTTGTCATTCCCTGCTCATCCTAAACACATTGCTTCACAGCAGTAATACTTTCTCCAGACTTCCTTCACTTTGATGTTTCATTTGGTGTATTTCTTTTATCTTTTCCAGGTATGTGTGTGTGTGTGTTTTTTTTTTTAATCCAGCAGCTTTTATTATTTCCCCCATGCAGAAATGGACATATTGTACATTATCATTATTGCCTTATCCTCATGAAGCCTTCATATTTCCAGGTTTGTTCTCTTTTGTTCTCTCCTCACATCTGTAAGAAAATTACTGGGGCCATTTACTGTTTCGTGTTTTCCATCAGCTCTGCCTTTTTCCATCAGTCAGAGCTCAGTACCTCCACTCCTTCTTCATCTTTTCTCTTCATCCCCAACTTCCCTCCATTCCTCCTTTTACTGCTAGTGCTTCCTTATTCCAGGTTATAATGATTATAATTATGATGAAGACTTCCTTTAACTCAGCCATCTTTCTCTCTTGCAGTACTTCTTTGCATAATTACTCCACCATGTTAACATCCTTCTCTTTCCACACTGACTTTTTCAAGCATCAGATTGAAGGTAAATTCTTCATGTTAATTTTGAGTCTTATTTTTGCAACAACTGACCTGTGTTTTCACAAATAAAGTCACAAGACCTGAAATGTCACCAAAGCGCATACAAAACTTTTCCGTGTTTTTTTATAAACACGATGAAACTTAAATTACAGCATGACCCAGGGGTGATACAACACTAGAAAACACATGTTATGGAAATAAAACTAAAAAGTAGCAAAGACACCATGAATAAATTCTTTCAAATTTGATGTTTTATTTTCCTTGACAACTGTTTGTGTTTTGATAAGGATGTTATGAATACACAAGGTATCACAAGATCGTTGTGACCTTTTAGAAGTTATTTAAGTATGACTAGGACTTTGTTTTGCTAGTTAAAGGACTGCAGACTGTAAAGACAGCGGGTAAATGCTATTAATTCTTGAGCCTACTATGCCCTGGCCACCCTTTACTACGCCAGTGTCCCAGCTAAGAAAAAGTCTGGACACGCCTCTGTCATCAGGCAAGATTGATGATTTGTACATTGTACTTTATATTTGATCTTTAATTTCACTGTTAAAAGAAGTAATCGGTATATATATATATAGTTCCTATTTAGAACAAGACCATACTCTTTTTCACATCTGAAGACCAAACATCAAAACAGGATAATATATAAGATTAAGTGGCTCCTTGTAAAATAAGACCAACATTTCTCCCATCTTTATCCACCATGAGTGAAGCATCTTTGCAGAATTTAACAAGTTACAGCGAAGATGTAAAACTTCCTTTTACTGGGCAGAAACCTCGAGCAGAACCAGAGTCATTGAGGAAAGGAAGGACACTCTTTACATAAGTGCAAGACAAAAAAAATGAGCAAAAATAGGAGGTCCTACTTTTTACACTTTTCCCATAATTTTTTTGAAGAAACTAGGGTTAGTTTGATTCAGCAGAATTTCAGACTGACTCACATGTTATCATGTTATTTAAAGTTCAGTTTCAGTTGGACTGAGGAAATAAATAGATTTTTTGGAACTGCATATAAACGTTGTTTATACCTCTTTGACTCACGGTGGGTTAACAAAAACATTAGGTTGAGTTAACATTTACAACATGGTGTGGGCTGCCACTAGGCTTCACAACTCTTCTGGTCTGGGTTTCATACTGTCTTTGAGAACGACATGCAGTAAGGGGCTGCAGAGTGGAATTAAAACTCTAACCGCTTGCTTCTACCTCTGCTTGACTGCAGCCTTAAAGTATGGAGCTTGAAATCAGACTGCTGAACCATACCACAGCCCCAGAATCAGGAATTCCCAGTGCTTGTAAACTTGGACCAGGAAGATGGTGTAGTTAAATCTCCTAATCAAGCTATAATTGGAGCTCGGCTTAACTGTGCGTGTAGATGTACTTATCATCATGTGGATCATAAACTTTTTAATTTAAACGCCTAAAAAGAAAACTGAGATACCTCTGTCTATTTGGTGTCCTATAGTCTCAGAGCAAGACCCTGAATGAGTTCATTTGCTGCAGCTTGAGTCTGCACTTTAACCTTTCAGCAGAGATCAGTGGAGCACCTGAGTCTATGATCATGGTGTGATCTGGTCTCAATGAGCCACACTGGTCTTTATGATTGATGATGTCTTAGCCGCTTGTGCACCATTATCTGCTGGCACTTGGGGAACACTAAAAGTTCAGAATCTGCATTTCCAATACAGTTGTCATTATGGTGAAAGATTTGAAGAGCTACGCAATCAGTGGTGGATGAACTGAGCTGCTAAAAAACAACATATCAAGAGGGAGATCGTCATTGCCACACTGTGATCTCCGAAGGATTAAATCCATGCAACAGGTTCAAGGCCTTTCTTTAAATGGCTTCTCTTACTCCCTAAACACCATCCTCCATATGAAGCCTACTATGGACATCTACACTCTAGCCTCTTATTATGAATCTATGTGATGACAAAAGAGGCTGTGCTATCATTAAGCTACATGCAATCAGCAGCCTCTTGAAAAAAAAAAACAATCTGGGCCGAAGATGAAGGGAACAATAAAAGACTCCATTTTGAGAAAATTCAATATGGCAGAATGATGAGAATAAAAAGCCACTAATGAGATTCAGCGTCCCCCATCCTCCCCCTCCTCCCATTTCTTGTAGCTCCCTTTTACTACATCCCTCCCCCAAGACACCTCATACCCTTTCACTCTATCTTGCACACACGCACACACACATACACAGGAAGGCTTAAAAACAGGTATTAAACAGTTTTATGTGAAAGTCATAAACTGCCTCACTGCTGTTTGTTGCCGATTTTACACTCAAATGGTAATCAGGACACATACGATTACTACTCAGGTTTCCTCTGCTTGTCATGCTAATGTGACATATATGACTGAGCCCAATCCCTGAATGGCTAATCCTGCATTTATATGTAACTTAAATCAATTGCAGTCCAGCTAGTCATGCGTGTAATAATGATGTCTGCATACCAATGA